AATCAGGTCACGCTGAACCTGAACTCAAGGTCTTAAAATCCTACTATCTAAAATCAGGTCACGCTGAACCTGAACTCCTATTAGCTGAAATCAGGTCACGCTGAACCTGAACCTAAGGTCTTAAAATCCTACTATCTAAAATCAGGTCACGCTGAACCTGAACTCAAGGACTTAAAATCCTACTATCTAAAATCAGGTCACGCTGAACCTGAACCTAAGGTTTTAAAATCCTACTATCTAAAATCAGGTCATGCTGAACCTGAACTCAAGGTCTTAAAATCCCACTATCTAAAATCAGGTCACGCTGAACCTGAACTCCTATTATCTAATACCAGGTCACGCTGAACCTTAATTCGGTGTCTAAAAAAAAAAACCTGCTATCCGAATCCGGGTCACATTGAACCTGGATCCTACCGTTTGAAAACAGATCGCGAAAGATCCGAACCTAAATTCGGATCATCACGCGAAGTCTAAAGATCTTCGAATAAGGTCAGGGCACGACCAATCTAAATCTAAAAACTCAGAAACTCTAACGAAGTTTCTAAGACTCGAAAACATCCAAAAGAATTCGAATTCAAGATAAGTTGTTCCCAACAGACACAAAGTTTATTTGAAACAGCTTGGATCTTTAAAAATCTCTCAAGATCCAGCTAAGGAACTTGAAATCTGACAAATTGAACGACTAAGGAATTAAATCAAGAAACGAAATAAGGTTTAAAAGCCTCCTCAGGCCATTAACGGTTCAAAAGAAATCCTAACATCGCAAAGGTTTAAAAGCCTCCTCAGTCTATAAGTTCTGAAAAGAAACAACATAAATAAAAGGCCCGTAGGGCAGACATCCTAAGAATATGGGAGTACTTTTGAAGGAGACCAAGTCATCAATCCTCTTGACCTCCACCCCCAGAAACCTTCTGAACTTCACGGTCTTCTTCCATTGCCTCGCTGTCCTTAACCGGGGCATCCTCGTCCATCTCACCAACATTCCCTTCTGGGACCACACCAGCTGGAGCTAAATAGGAACCCATCGAACCTAAGTTAGAACCATATTCTCCGTGAAAGGACGAATTGAACGTGTTAACCTCAAAAGTACCTGAGCTCTCTGAAAGCTGAGGAAGAGGAAGCTTGCTGATTGAGAAGTCGGAGACCTGAGCTTTCTCGTA